AGCATTGAATGCACTAAATAACAAGATCCAGAGAGTGGTCTCCAGAGGTAGTTTAGAGTACAGAGCCTGTCTGTGAGAGTGACTGCTGGAAAACATGGAGATATGTGCTAATGTATATCCCCCTTTATATCCCCCTTCACTGCCTTGGGAGAGCTGTTTGATCCTTGTCATGTCTCCCTGGTACAACGTCTCACAAGAAACCTCTGAGCTAGATGAGCTTGTAAATGCTGCTGTGTAATATCAGGTGTCAGTAACACAGGTTAATTCAGCTGAAAAAATTGTGAAAAGAAGCCATGGTATAACCATGGGCATAATGGGAATGCAGGTGTGTAATTGTGGGGTTGTGATTCTTGTTCTGCAGATCTACAATCTGTTTGCAGCCCAAGAATGCATAGTGCTAGAGACAGTTGTGTCATTGTCCTGTGTTTTGCCCTCACAACCTCAATGACCACCTGACTTTACATAGGATTTCATCAGTTTAAGGCTTATATCTGGATAACCCAAAATCTGGGGTTTGTGATCCTGTAGTGTGATATTCTGTGTAGTTCTATTTTTCTTAAGTGAAAAGCTATGTGTCTCTGTGTGTCTGTATTTGAGTCCTGATTTTGAATCAGGATAATAATAGCATTGAGTCATAATTATTTACAGTTGAACATGTTAGACTGTCGTATGCATTTACTGCTCCTGATAATGGTAGTGGCTACACTGGTGTACATTTTGGCAAAGCATTACTTCAGGGAGACTCCAGCCCTTTGACAGTTCTGGTTTAGAGATTGTTGTGACTTTCTGAAGACAAAAAAGTGTTGTTTTAGTTTTTTTTCCCAAGATTTTTACTAACTGAAGAAGAAAAATGGATTTGAAACAAGCTAGGCTAATTTCCATTATTTCCAAAAGGGCAATGTGATGTTCTTGTGAAGGTCCAGTTCCTCAGCCTGTAGTAACTCCTTAAACTAGGTAAGGTCTAGCCTAGTTATCAATCATCTGGGTTTTGCCTTCCACAGGTGATCCAGATCCCCATTCTTCTCTGCAAACAGACATCTTCCCTTAGGAGAGAAGGTGGGAGTCTGCTCATAAGCTTCCTGCAGGCTAGGAACAACCCCTGCATCAGCTACTGGACTGTGTCACTTGAGTTAGTATTGGTGCACTGGCAAATGTGGGTTTGTTTCCTCAAAGACAACTTCTGTTGTCAAACAGAAGCATTTCTGCTCATACTGACCCTCTCTAGAACTCTGGAGATGAGGAAAAAGCAGTAAGTGCAGACTAGGATAAACTAAAATAAACATTTTTCAAGCTTTTAAGATACTAACAAAATACTGAAAGGAAGAAAATAATCCCTGAAGGGAAGCACTCTGTTGACTGCCCTGGGAGAGAGGAGGGCTACTAACAAGTCAAGTTCCCTCAGCACAGGACTAATGCCTGGTTTGCTCTGATCTCACCCAGAGAGCGTTGTGTTTGTGGCCACTGGGACCAGACAGTGACAGGGTAGGGGCTGAGGGGCTCTCAGAGACCAGGAAGGCAGCTCATTCTACCAGTCTCCTAATGTTCACTTGATTCCCCAGGAACTGGTCAGGGCTCATTCTGGAGCAGAGATGACATGCCTAATGTGGAAGAAGATGGAAGATGAGCTAGCTGAGTTCAGATTTGCTTTTGAATGTATCTACATACCTCTTGGTAGTGATCCCAGTATGAAGGAGATCCCTAGCTTTTAGACAAAACATAGTATCCCCAGTACCAGGAGGATGCTGTCCATCTTTATCACCTGGGCTGTGTGGACACTCCTGTTCTGCAGTCACCATTTCCAGACTAGGCTGTCATGTGCTTTCCTAGGGGCTGTTCTCAGATCAATCTAATTACTGAAGTAGGTGCACAAAGTGCATGCTTGGTAAGCAGAATAAGAACTGGTATCTTCAGGGCTAGGACTTCAACCCACCTAGCCTGACCTCCTCTATCATCAAATTACAGCCCATTCTCTCTGCAGGGAGTGCAACAGCTCATCTTGAATTCAATCATGCACTTGCTAGAAAGGCAATCAAACCTGGATCGGAGGACAGAAAGGAATAAAGAACTCACTCCTTCTTTAGTATTTTGTTCCAGAGGATAATCACTTTGTAACAAATGTGAACCAGATGATTCATTAGAATTTTTCTAACTCCAGCTCTTAGCATTGTTCTGGTTCTTGCTATGCCTTTCCCCCCTTGATTAGAACTCTTAAAACTGGCATTTTTCTCCCCATGTTAGAACTTGCACACTGTAATCAACATGCCTCTCAACACCCTGTAACTGCCAAACCCAGCAATGTTCTGAGCTAGAATCTATGCTGTTCCTCTTAAAAGCAGTCCAGTTATCTGATTCATCCTGTCAGTAAAGACCATTCTATTACACTTTTTCCAGTTCCCTCTGCTTTCTCTTTACATGAATCTCGTGACATGGATGCACTGGCATTGTGTGTGTTTGTGAATTTTCCATTTACAGTGGAAGGTTAGGGTTGGCTGCAAGACCCTGTGTGTCCACATAACTCACTGCCCAACCAATGTCTTTGTGCTCTATCTGTGGTTGTCTCTGAGCTGAAACTTCTCTCTACATCAGGGATAAAAGGATGCTCTTGCATTTTCAATGGCCATCAGAAGTCTCTAGAACATATATGTTAACCTTTAATAGTAAGTTGGTGTTTGGAATTATTTTTTCTTTTCTTGGGGATTTGCTGGATTGAGGAGATTTGGAGAAGTCACTCCCTAGAAGTCTTTTTAGGCTGTTATTTTAATGTGCATTAAGCCACCATGGCTCCAGTGATAGCTGTGTATTGTGCTTGCTACTGGTTAAATGAAACGAAAAAATGAAATTAAACACCTGTTCCTAAAGAAGACTGTGCTTTCTTAGCTGCTTTCAGGAGAACCATCTGACTTGAGAGACTATGATCTTTAATTTTACCCTACCTTTTAATCTCATTGACATCTTCTGAACATTGTTTTCTGTGTGCAGAGCCTGGGGTAGACCAAGCAGTGGGAAAATAGACTGTGAGAGTCTAATAGCAGAAAGTAGAATAGACTGTGGCCAGACCATTTGTATCTGAGGGCTCCTGCACACTCTGTGGGACTCCTTGAACTTTCAGTTTGCTGTGTTTAGTGCCTGATATGTCTGATGTGTTAAAAAACCCATGAGTTTTGCCACTGCTGGGCAAGCCAAATGGTTCTTGTGAAGCCATTTAACTTCTTTTTCCTTTTTTCTTATATCCTTCCTTTCCTTTTTTCTTTTTTTTTTCTTTTTTACCATTTTGTTGCTTTTGGTTTGTTTGGTTTTTGTTTGTTTGGTTGTTTTTGTGTTTCTTTTGGGATATATAACATGTGAGCACTGTCACTTAACCAAATTAGGTACACCACTAGAATTCTGAAATTAGTGGGGACGTGAATAAGCACTTTTGTCAATATAACTATTCCCATATACATCTGAACTGCAGATGCTGCTATGGAGCAAAAAATGATCCCCTAGACTTCAATAAGTCAACCTGAACATTATCATTAAACCAGATATGTTGTTTCTGTTACTGAAATGAACTCTGGAACATCTGTGCAGACCCATTCCCAATGTTAAATTGTCACCTGTCACTATTTGGGAGTGTCAGGTATCACCGGAAATGCTGTTTGCTGCTTTCCTCAGCGGTGTTGCACAAACAGCCCTGAATTGCAGGTGACTCACCAAAACGTGCTCTTTTCTCTGGTAGCATCCTGAGGGATACGTTGGTGGTATCTCACCAGATTTCTGGCATAGTCTGAATCTGGTGTCACTGGTGGGCAGGGTGTGACACAGCCAGGTATGCTGAGCACACACACACGGGCTGTGCTGCAAGCAGCTCTGCGCTCCTCAGAGAAAGGCTGGGGAATTTGTTTAAATACCGAGAGACAAAGGCTTTAATCACAACACATCTTCTTAGGTTACATCAACAAACTGAGAGAAATCTGAAATTGCAACATGCTGGTTTTGGACATGTGTTGGCTCTCCAGCAGTCTTTTTATTTATCTGGTTTTAGTTACCTTTTGTAGTTTTATGACAGGTATGACAGGCTGGAGCCACTCTGCTTGTGAACACTTTTATCTCTTTGAAGATTCTCCTTTTGAAATGAAATGTTTCTTGGCCGTTCTTAGCTCAAAGGTGGAACTTTATAGAGAGCGGGATGGAACTGTTTGCAGTGGGGGGAACTCCAGAGCAATTTTACTTCCTTTGAAGATGTGTGCTGTTCCTGAAGCTACTTTTGTGCAGTAGGAAAATCATCTGGGGCCAAGCAGGAAGTTGTGAGGTCAGTGGCACATCCCAGAGAGCCCTCGCCTGTCCCTTCCCTGCCCAGGAGACAGCTCTGGGCGCTCAGGATAGGCATGGAGAACTTTTGGACAGATTTATTTTTAAAACCCACATCTGAGGGTGGGCCTGCACAGCCCACATGGAACTCATTGCTGGGTACACGCTGGTAGTGCTGGAGCCATTGGTTCCGTTTGGTGGGTTTTTCTTCCAGCTACCTCCACACTTCCACCCACCCGTGTGTTCGAAGCTCGTGGTGCTGAGGGGAGCTGAGGGAGAATCCCCTCACAGCCGCGCTGAGGGGAGCTGAGGGAGAATCCCCTCACAGCCGCGCTGAGGGGGATCCCCAAGGCCGAGCCGAGCTTTCCGAGGTACCGCCTGTCACGGCTGAGGGAGGGCCGCTCCTGGCTGGGCTGAGGGCTTCGCTCAGGGCACTGGAGAGTGCTGGAGGGACACCCTCAGGGCCACACTGAAAACAGACGAGGCGCCGACCTGAAGCGGCTGACGGACCTCTCGGGGCGGGTCTGAGGAGGATGAGAAGGCGCCTGAGACGGGCTGAGGGGACGGGCTGAGGGTGGTGCGTGCACGGCTGAGGGGCGGTGCAGAGCACGGCCGAGGACGCACCTGCTCGGGCCGGCTCACGGGCGGCCGCACGGAGCCCTCGGGCCGCTGGGGCGGGGCGCGCTCGGCCGCTGAGGGGGCGGGGAAGAGGCGGAACCTCCCCGGGCCCCGCCTCGCCGGCCCCGGCCCCGCCCGGGCTGTCAGAGCCGGCCTGTCCCGGGCAGGCTCGGGCGACCGCGGGATGCGGCGCTGAGCGCGCTCCGCTCGCCTTCTCCGTCCGTCTGTCTGTCCGTCCATCGCTCTCCCCGCCCGGGCTCCCGCACGCCGAGATTCCCTCCCGCAGCCCATGATGTGCCTGGAAAGCGACGGCTCCTCCGGCAGCAGCCCGGTCTGCGGCGGGCGGCTCCGAGCTGGCGACGAGGAGGAGGAGGAGGACGGCGAGCGGGGCTGCTGCGGCCGGGGTGCCGAGGGCGAGGTGCAGACCCTGTCGGGCAGGATGAACCCCCCGGCGGCCGGCAAGCACCCTGACCGCCCCGCCGCCCTCCGCAAGGCGCCGACCCTCGGCCGGGCCCGGGTAGCGGCCGCCGGCATCCTCAGTGTGGGCAACGTGCTCAACTACCTGGACCGGTACACCGTGGCAGGTGAGCGCGCCCCGCGGCTCTGAGAGCATCCCCCGCTGCCCGGGGACAGCCCTGCCCGGGCACGGTGCAGCCGCCGCCGTCCCCAGGGCTGTCCCGGGCTCGGGTCAGCGGGGCTGGAGAGGAGGGATGGCGTGAGGGATGCGGCGCGGCCGGTGCCCATTGTGCGGCCCCTCCGGTATTGTTCTCTAGTTTGTCTGAATTTTATCAAAAATAAGAGGAGCGCCCTTTGTTTGTGTGGGCTCGATGGCGGAATCGGTGCCCGGTGGGATTCGGGAGGGAGCGGCGGTGGGAGCGGAGGGCGCTCGGCGGGGCTGGGGCGATGGCAGACGCGTTATCGATCCCGCACGGGGTGAAGGCTGCGGGCGGCAGGTGCAGCTGCGGCCGGAGAGACACGGGCTGCTGCCAGACGTGCGAGCGCCGTGTGTCCCTGGGTGAGAATCGCAGCGAAGCAAATCCCCTTTGCTTTGTTTCTGCGGAGCGCGTCCAGCCTGGAACAGCCGGCTGCCCTTCAGCCCTGTGCCAAGGAGGGTCCTTTCCCTGCAGAACTCCCGAGCAGGTGACAGCAGAGCTGGCAGGAGCGGCCGCAGCAGGAGCAGCTAGGCAGCTGCAATGCACTTTGCAAAGCTCGGGTTTCTTAAGGTAAATGCTTAAAATCATGCGCTGGTGGATGTGTGACCAGCCGTAGTGTGTGAACCACTATGTTCCTCAGTACTTACTACTACTGTGAAGCTCAGCTCAAACACAAATGTCTGTTTGGATGTTTACTGTGCCATCCCTAGAGAGGACTCCTTGTTTATTCTTGTCAGGCAATAACAGCAGGGAAGAAGATCATCACTGAACTTTTTCTAATTAGAAATGAAGTAGGCTTGTTGGTAATCAACTGTCTCATGTCATTAGAATATAATACATATTCTCTGTTTGGCAATACTGATAATTTTATCTTCAGAGTTTACAAAGGGGTTTGTGCATGTATAAATTTTTCTCTATGCATATATATGTTTTAATCACTAGGACTCAATGTGGTGTTAAGCAAATCCAGTATTTGTTTATACTACATTAAAATAATATATGTTTGTAGGGCAGTGATAGAGAGCAAGGGACATAAATCTAAGTCACTGTTGTTAGAATTAGTTGGCCAGGTTGTATTTATTTTGTCTGGAGCAGGGAGATGGGGAGGATTACAAGGAGAATTTAGCTGGCACCATTGTGGATTTTTTGTTTTTCTTTTTAGATGTGGCTTGTTCCTTCAGGAAATGTAAAGGCCAGTATTGGAGGGTATTAAGTACTCTGCTGGTAGTCAGTCTGTTACAGAAGGAAGCTTGAAGATAGAAGGTTAAGTTGTTATTATTGAAGGAAGTTGTAGTGTGCTCCCTTGCCCTCAAATAGGGACCTCTCTAAGTGGAGTTTTTCTACAAAGCACCTTTAGTGCATGGTCAGCTTCATTTTTAGGAAGCTATTCCACTAACATGCATTCTTAAGAAAAAAAATCCCATCTAGTTCACCTATTTGCTCTAGTACTTCCACCAAGACCTTTGCCATCTGATTTTTCTGCTGCAAGAACTGAAAGCTTTTCTGGAAAAGCTGGAAAGTGCCTGACCAAGCAGAAGATAAAAATGCCTGCCTACTGTAATGTGGCATTGCCAAACCCAGTCTGTGATTGCTGGTATTTCTAGGACAAGCTCTGGTATTACTGTGCTCAATAACTGCCCTGTGGAACTTATCTATTAACATTCAGCTTGATATCAAAGGTTTAAGATCTCAGACATCAGACTTGCCTTTGGGGACAGAATCAAACTTTGCATGGACTTTGTCTTCTGTCAATTAGTATTTACTTTTGAAACTGGTGTTATATAAAGTGCTAATCTAAAACATGAAATAATTTAAATCCAGTGTAATAGAAGAGTTGTGGTAATAAAAATTATATGTTTTGAGCTCAAAACTGACTTGATTATAAAGTCTTCCCTAAAAGTAATCTTTACTTTTGTATTTTGAGTCTTAGCGCATACCACATGCTTATGTGATGTGCACTTGCAGATGAATCAAGCTAGCACTTTGAATATGCAGCTTATGTCTCAAGACAGGTAATAATTAGTAAATACAACTCTCCAGACCTTCAAAGTACATTTCAAATATGAATTGTTGCAGCAATGTAATAAGAGATTTTAACACCAGCCATGTTATGGTAGGGGAAGTAGCATCAGAAGTTATGATTTACCTAAGGCCAGTGGACTGTTGTGAGAACTGGAATTAATTTCTGGTTCCAGCTCTATTGGAAACAAAGTGTTAGAAGAGCAGCAGTACCAATGGAAACTGGTTCCTGAGGATTTGTCTCTAGGGTGATCCTTGCTGTGGATTCTCTGATGTCCAATAAGTTGACCTTTGTCATTAGCCTTTCTCTTCTTGTCTTATAAGAGTCTTGCATCTATCCAACCATTTTTTAAAAATGAAAGTGTTGGAAGCTTTGGAATTTCTTCCTGCTGTCAAATTTAGTCAAAGGCAGGTCAGTGCCTCAAAAGGAATTAGCAGGCAGCTGACAGACAGACATAGGCAAACTGTATCCAGCTGTATGGGCACAATACTCCAAGTACATCTTCTGTCTTACTTGAGAATTTAGTTGCAATCATTTTGGTTGGTCAAAAAGTATAAGAAAAAGCAAGTATATCTTTAGTGTGTATACACACACAAATATGTATACATATATATATAAACAAGTGTATGAAAGTATATTTATTTACTGGGGGAAAAATCATATACAGAGTTAGTTCCAGATGTAATTTCCTGAGTATCTTCCACTATTTTCTAACATAGCCTCACAGAAGGTGGATAGCAGGTACCCAGTCAATGTAAGAGCATCTTATGTGATAGGAAGAACTAGGCTGACCTGACCTGTAGCACATCTTGCTCTTAAAAGTAAAATCTTTTGCATTGCTACAAAGCAAACAGCAAATGTGTTATTGGTGTTTACACTCTGGACACATAAACATTGTGTATAATTATTTGGGTTTGGGTAATCCTTTTTTCAAGTGCAACACACAAGGAAGTAGCTGTCTATTTTCCTGGCTTTGGTTTAATGACTTCCCAGTATGGACTAAATGAGTTTATGATGGGATATGCCTTTTTGGTATCTGGGACAGAGCTTGAGTGCGGTTTCCAAGATACAGGGCATACACAGCTTCACACCTGACACTAAGTTTGCTGCTTTTTTGGGAATCCATGATGAAAATGGGCCTCCACTGAGGACTGGCCTGTTTCTTAAGGTTTCAGAATAAATTCCTTCCAGTACTTAAAAATAAAGAGTCTGTACAGCAGTAGTGAGTATTTCAATAAGGTCCTTATGTTTACAAAGAGTTGGAAATTTCCAGCATGTGTGGAGTATGGAATATACTGATATTTGGGAGAAGCTGTCCCAGACAAAAAGTGCCAGTGCCTCTACTGTGGCTCTTGTAAAGAAAAGATTGAAAACTCAATCAGCGCTGACCATTACCCCCTTGAAGGGAAATGATCCTCTGCAATTTTCTTAATAGGTCTTTGATCATACTGACAACAGTTGCCTGTGGAGAAAGCATTCTTTCAAAAGCTGTGATGTTTCACTGCTGTTAGGATAGCAAACGAGTAAGGACAAGGGGAAAACAAAAGTAATGAAACCGTTGCAGATTTCCTGTAAACTGTAGGATTTCAGCCATCCCATGATGCTAGGACATATCTTCTTCCTTAATGAAGTTTTGGGAAAAGTCATCTTGCCTTCCAAGCCTTCAGAAGCTTGGAATGTGGTTTCACAATTATACCATGGGTGACCTTTTACTGTGCCTGCTGTTGACGATGAAAATAGTCTTGCTTCATTAGGGTGTCACCTCCACCTTCTAATTCAGATGCTACTTCCTGGCATTTCTGTAGTGCTTTAATTTAAAGGTAACGATTTAATTAAGCTGCAGAACTACCCAGAAAAGTAAATGAGTCTCACAATCCCACTACAGAAGGGGAAACCAAGTTGCAGAATGCTGGTGATTTGCCTGTGGTAATGGAGTTAGTGGCAGAGCCTTGGTTGGTATCTGTTCATCCTTGAGGTTCTCCATCCCTGTCACACAGTATGTCACAGACTTTGGTCTGCTGTTTTTGTCCTTTAAGTGTCTGCAACTTGCTAATAATTGTATTTGTGTTAATTAGCCTCTCATTACAACACATAGTTGCAAATCAAATGCCATTCTTTGAAGATACACACATGCAAATGATTACTGAAAGTTGAAAGTCAAGTTTACAACTATGTACTACAGACTCCAGCTGAAGGGTTAGGAAAGGTTCAGCACTAACTCTCAAGTGCAAAGACATTGAAGAGGTTGTGAGCCAAAACTGCTTCTTTTTACTTGTGAGCTCACATTTCTGATAGTAACATAGTGCCCCATTGAGTGCTTCTTAGTGAATGTAGCCAGAGATTTCACATGGAATAGGATAAAAAGAGCCCCTTCTCCTCTTGTAACAAGACTATACTAAGTGCTCATAGCTTCAGGGAGGGAAGTATTAAGAGGCAGTGCAAGCACCCAGGACACAGCTCTGGAAGGGCTGTAATGCTGGAAAATATTACAAAATAATACTGACAGAATGCACTTGAGGCAGTAGTGCTGCCAGCTCACACATGTGAGAGTTTGTGAAAGGATGACAGTGTTTTACTTGGGCAGCAGGGACCTGTTACTGACTCAGAATTCAACAACTCCTGCTTTGGGAGCTGAAGTTAGACTTGAACCTCATGCACTTCAAAAGCAGGAGACAGAAAATGTTCTGCAGCAGAATGACAGGGACTGTGCCATAGTATCTTGTTCTCTAGTGTTGTTTTCCCTGTGGGTTGGGCTTTATTGCAAAGGCTGCTGCTTCCTGTTTGCTGGTTCTTATGCGAGTTGGCAGGATTTGTTCCAGAGTATTTTACATTTCAAGTGAAGTCTTATTATGTTTGATCATAGGATTTTTTTCTTCCTTGTGCTGTAGGTTTGCCAGATACTAACTATCTT